GATGTGGAGAAAGAGGAACCCTATTACACTGCTGGTGGGAATGTATACTTATACAACTTTGGAAAGCAGTCTGGAGGGTCCTCAGAAAGCTAAATATTGACCTCCCTTATGACCCAGTCATACCACTTCCAGGCATTTATCCTGAACAACAGGAACCAGTATACAAGGACACATGTACCTCCATGTTTATTGCAGCACTGTTCACAATAGCCAGGATATGGAAACAACCCAGATGCCCCACCACAGATAGATGGATCCAAAAATTGTGGTATCTATACACAATGGAATATTATGCGGCCATTAGAAATGACAAAATAATGGCATTTGCAGGGAAATGGATGGAGCTAGAAGAAATCATGTTGAGCGAGGTAAGCCAAGAGCAAAGAGACAAATTATACATGATCTCCCTGATAAGTGGATGTTAAATCCACTTTTGTTGTGATACAACAAAATTAGCAGGACTTAAGAAACAAAGGACTTCTACTCATCTGGTCAAATCACTACTAAATAACCCCATGCTGATGATCACACACATGGTATATATGTGCACACCAGAGGGAAACCAGGAGGAGGACACAGAACTAGAGGGAATCAGGGAAAAACATACAACAGCAGGACCCATCAGCTGCACTGGGCATTGACCAAAATGAACCAAGCAACTCAATGGCAGCGATGGGAGGGAGGGAACAAGTGGGAAAGAGGGAACAGCTGATGCTATGCAAAACAAAAGAAATGTACATATCACCCAATGTGGAAGAAATAACTGTATCGCAAAGTTCACAGAACTCATAAATGTTATAGACTGTGATAAGACAATTTGCTCCAGGAAAGTCAGAATGTTTTTGTGACTTTAACTGAGCATCACTATCCCACAATACTGTGAAATTTGGGAAATTATGTAACCACTTAATCACAATAAAAAAATTTGAAAAAAAGGGCTGGGAAGGTAGCTCAGTGGTAGAGCGCTTGCCTTGCATGCCTGAGGCCCTGGGTTCGATTCCTCAGCACCATATAAGCAAAAAGAAAAAAAGCTGGAAGTGGTGCCGTGGCTCAAGTGGTAGAGCGCTAGCCTTGAGCTGAAAAGCAGAGGGACAGCACCCAGGCCCAGAATTCAGGCCCCACGACTGGACCCAAAAAAAAAAAAAAAAAATTGAAAAAAAATAAAATTATGGCATTTCATATGGGAATTCCTCCATACCAAATTATTTCATTAACATTTAACATTTCAAGTATTTCAACTATATCTAAAATAGATACCAACTTCATTTATTATGTCTAGTTATTAGGAGTCAAATTTTATTTTATTTTATTTATTTATTTATTTTGGGTCCGGTTGTGGGGCCTGAACTCTGGGCCTGGGCGCTGTCACTTAGCTCTTCAGCTCAAGGCTAGCGCTCTACCACTTGAACCACAGCACCACTTCTGGCTTTTTTCTTTTTGCTTATGTGGTGCTGAAGAATTGCACCCAGGGGCCTCATGCATGCAAGGCAAGCGCTCTACCACTGAGCCACCTTCCCAGCCCTAGAAGTCAAATTTTAATGTGTGATACAGCTGATCTCTGTCATTTTAATCAAATTTTATGTTAAAGAAAATCAATCTTCCTGTAACCTTTAGTGATTCCTTCTGAGCAGTTTCTTCTACCTAACACATTCAATGGTTTGTTTGTTTTTTTTTTCTTCTGCAAATGGTTAAGTTACTGATGTATGTCAGCTGCTCTGTATAAGAAAGCTATAGTCCATGAAATGTTGAACACCTGTTCTGCAGTGGCTTGCAGACAGAAAGGTGAATAAGAAGGAAAACTTCCATGTTCATAGTGCTTGGGTTTATCCACTGCTACAAAGACAGAGTTGAAGAAATGAAGGGATGGAGAGCAGGAGGAAGAACAAACATTCTCTTAAAGTGCCCATGGCAGATACTTCTTTCTATCATATAGTTTTTTCTTTCATATATACACATATGCACATGCATATCTGTCTATCTATCTATATCGGTATCTTGCCTACCACTGAAAACTGCACTGTTCCGATTTCAACACTGTGTTGGAAACTCAAGCCAGTCATCAGGCAAAAGGAAACAGCATTCCCACCAGAAGAAGAATAAAAGCTGATCCTCTTTGCAGATAAAGCAAAGAAAATCTATTTTTTAAACCCTAGAATTAGCAAGTTCAACAGTGTCACAGAATATAAAATAATGAAGATCAATTGTATTTCTGTAATTTAGTAGCAAATACATGAACAAAATAAAAATATAAAACCATTTACAGTGGCTCAACATGAAATTAGTTATTGTTATTCTGTATGTAACTGCTGTGTTAGTATAGGTTCCCTTTGGATAGTACTGCAAAAGATGACAAATTGTTTCAGGATCTAAAAAGTTAGCTATTATTACATGAAGCCAACAAAGCAAGCTATTTTGGTGAAGTCCACAATTCTAAATTGTCAATCTCCATGTTTTACATCAATTCCATATATTTCAGTATAGCTTTAAAGTTGAAAACTTGTTTTCAAAAGTTACTGCCATGTAAAGCCATACATCTGTCTTATGTATGCACACATGTAATGTATGTCTTGGTAGTTCTAATATTTGAACTCAGGGTCTTATACTTGCTAGAGGTACTCTATTATTTGAGCCACTCCACCAGCTCTTTTCTGGGTTTGGTTGAGGTTTTTTGTTTGTTTTCCAGCTAATATCAAGGCAAAATTTACTTCTGTAGAAGGGTGTGCCATTAGCCAAAAATCTGGCAAGCAAGCTAGCACTCAGATCAGAAAGGCTGTCCCCCTATTTATCCCTAACGTAGCAGGCCCCTACCCTTTTGCTCAGATTGGTTGAGTTCGGGTTCACAATCTGCTCCTGATTGGCTAGTTTGAATAGGATGAAATGTATTTCTGTCTGGGCTAGCATGTCCTGGGACTTTTCTATTTGTGCTTCCCTGTCTCTGAGATGAAAGTCACGTGCACTGAACCCCACCAAAGTGCTTCCTTAGTAGCCTGGGGCTAAAAGCTTGTGCCATCATGCTCAGCCACTGGTGAAGATCCCAGGCTGGCCTCAAACTGGAATTCTTCAATCTCCACATCCAAACAGCTAGGTTTACAGGGTTCACACCTGGCTTCAAAGCCACATTTTATTATGAGAACTTAGTTCTGAGATAGGTTTATGGGTAAGTTTTCAGGGTCTGAGGGTTCTTGAGCTCCTGTGTTTTTTCAATGTCAAGCGACACAGTGTCACAAACAACACTCAGTGCCTTCTTGCCTTTGTTTTTGTGATGCTGCTAGACAAGTATTCTATCATTTCAACCACATGCAGAGCTTTTTTGAGACCAGAGCCTCATTAAGGTTACCCAGACTGACCTCAAACTTGTGATCTTCCTGCCTCTGTCTTCCTAGTACTGTCTTCCTAGTAGCTGGGATTACAGGTATGCAGTACCATGTCTGACTTCAATGTCACACTTAGTGTTTTATAACTGATACCAAAACAGCCAGTTGCCAGTGGCTCACATCTGTAATCCCATCTATTCAGGAAGCTGAGAACTTTTGGATTTCAGTTTGAAGGCAGCCAGGCAAAAAAAAAAAAAAAGGCTATGAGACTCCATCTTCAATTAACCAGCAAATTATGTGGCTGTGAACAAGAAAGCTGAGTGACACCAACTGGCTCTGAGTTCCAGCCCTGATACCAGCACAAAAATAAATATATAAATAAACAAACAAATAAATAATGGCACCAAAGTAAATGAGTCTGTTTATCATGTTTCTAGTCTAAATTCATCTTAGAAATATAAAGTTATGGATAAAGAGATTTCTTAGGCAGCAAGACACTTGAATAGCACTTATAAAGTATGTTCAAAATTTAAGGTTCCCTTATGTATGTAACATAAAGAGTACTGATATGGCAGTTTCTTTTTAGGGAAGATTAGGGATCAGACTTTTTCTTTTCCTTCATTTATTTTTGCCTCAAAGTGCATATCTGAGGGAAACATGACTATAGAAGTGAAACAGGTTCTTCCTCTGTCTCCTATTCCACTCAGAGAAAACCAAAGCCCTCACAACAGCCCCTTGGTCTCCCCTGAACCCCATTTCCTAAACTCATTCCCCACCGTCCCACTTGTTCCTTCTGTCTCAGCAGAGCTGCTCTAGATCCACACATGAAGCATCCTGACTTCTGGGTCTCTGCCCAGGCTAGTACTGCTGCTTGGACAGACTTGCCAGATTACTGTAGATCAACCCTTCCCAATCTTTAGGACTTGCAAACAGGTTACCTTCTTAATCAGACCTACACCAGTATTACATAAAACAACAAAATCCCTCCTGGTCCATCTAACTCCTACAAAGCACTAACCAACTATACATTTACAGATGTTTATTTTGTTTTGGTGGTTACCTGTCCTCTACCCTAGAAAGGGCAACAATTTTTGTTTCTCATTGTATCTCAAAAGCCTGAAATATACTTGCCACATAATAGGTGACTCAACAAATATTTTTTAAATGAAATGAATGAAACAATGAATATAACAGGCACATCAACATCTGTCAAATTTAATGATTCTCAGAAACACACTGAAAAATGAATTTCCACAGAGAAAATACATTTCTAGCAACCTCAATCTCTGGTCACATGTAATTCATCTGCAGCGGGCTTGTCTCCTCAGTCCTGACACTCATTTTTCTGTTCACAGGTAGGATTTTGCCAGAAAAAAACAACTCAAGGTCCACACGGAAAGTCTTCTCCCAAACCCCTCTTTTCTCATTAAGTCTGGATTTGGTGCTCCTCCTATATATTATTTCTGCACTTCCCCATAGCCACTTTATCTGGACAGCAAGGTATATATGTCTATCTACTTCCCAGATCAGTGGGAAAGTTCCTTGAGAACAGAAACCCTTTTTATTTGCCTCTCCCTCATTTGCATGTAACTCATAACACATAACACAGACGGGGACTCAACAGATGTTTGGTGTATAAATAAACATTTATTAAAAATCTATTAGATTCATCATGAATCAGTTTACCTGCTACTTGTTTCCTTAGTTCTTCAATTTCTTCTTTCAAGTTTTTTATTTCTAAATCTTTGCTTGCTGCAAGTGGACCATCAACAGTTGAGTACTGCAAAGCTTGGACAGTTTGTGTTGACTCTTAAAGAAAAAAAAGAATGAAAAACACATATAATTTAAAGTATCTAAAGCAATATTGTACCTTTCTTTTAATGAAAATCTCTATACAGTTCTATAGACTACAACATCTACCCACTTACAAAGAATATAAACTTAGGAAGGCATAAAAATTCTACTGAAGTTGTTTAGATTATGTATTTGAAAAGCAATCTAGGGCTGGGAAGGTGGCTCTGTGGTAGAATGCTTGCCTTGCATGCATGAGGCCCTGGGTTCGATTCCTTAGTACCACATAAGCTAAAAAAAAGCCAAGAAGTGACACTGTGGCTCAAGTGGTAGAGTGCTAGTCTTGAGCTGAAGAGCTGAGGGACAGCGCCCAGGCCCTGAATTCAAGCCCCATGACTGACAAAAACAAACAAAAAAGCAATCTATATATTAATAAATCTGCCTTCTTATCTATGAGGTTTTACGCTCAGTTGCTAACCTCTGCAGTAATCAGTATTTCAGTCACTTTTTGTCCAAATACTATACAATAAAGTAAGAAAGGTCAGATGTCAGATAATGTATGGAAAGGTGAAGCTGGTATATGAAGGAATGCGTTTGTATGTGTGTGTGTTTTGTTATTATAAAGGTAATGTAAGGGGTTTCAGTTATGTAAGTCAGGTAATGAGCACAATTCTTTTTGGACAGTGCTTCCCCTTTCCTTGTTTTCTCTCAGTTTCTCCGTCTTGTCCTTACCCACAAGTTGTATAGTTCATTTGCAACATAGGCTCTAGTGAGTACCACCGATGTCATTTATTCACCCTTTCTCCCCCTTATCCTCCCAAAGGCGGATAAACAAGCAAATAAGACTAAAAGAAAAGAAAAACAACAACAAAGGAAAGACCTCGTTTCCATTTCCTGGAGTTCATTTCAATAACTATCACTTTATATGATCAGATGCACACAGGCATTGTGCCTTTATGTTCCTCCCCTAATATCACCCTTTGTTCTGTGTGAAGATGCCTAGAGTCCTGTATAACTTATTATGTCCTATTGTATTTTAGATCTAGCTTGAATGTGCTTTTACATAATATGCACAAATACAAACAGTTCTAAGCAAAAGATGGATAGAAACTTTTTAAGGAAACATTAGCACTAATGTTTCATGTATCATCAAAAGATACACATAAAACTAATTTCATATCAGAAATGAAATCCCTCTTTGTACTAAAATATGTTTTCTGCTATTTATAGAGGTGCTCCCATATAAAACTTTTCACTATATTCTCTGTATATGCATACCATTACTAATTGCTTTATATTACTATATATATGAATAGATACACATGGGTATATGCACATACACAGAAAATGTCATAATCTTTGTATGCAGAGTGGTCAATAACGTGTGTTCACTTGAATTAAAGGCATTAAGATATTATTATATATACAATTGTGACCTTCTATCTCTAACAAGTATTTCTTACATGTTTTTATGTGTGTTCAATATATGGTCAATATTGATCCTTCTGTATTTATTTTGAAGAGAATACCCACTGTTCTCTTTACATCAATAGGAGGTGTTTTTCCTTGTGTATGCTACCTGTTGTAGGGCACTATGGGGGTAATATCCTTGCTCTTGTTACCACCACCCAACCTCCTAGATCTGCAAAAACTCACTTCCTATTCACTGTTGTCTTCTACTTATGCTCTTCTCCTCTCCTTAAACAAGGATGGCATACTTTGCTCTCCCCCTTCTTTCCACTCTGTCGTTATTCTTAGTGATTTCAACAAGAAATGGAAAATCTATCTAACACTGACTTCTCAGCCAACAAAGCAGCTAGAATAGCTGTTAAGTTTTCGTCTCTTCTTCCTTATGAACCAAAACCAGCTATCAGTCTACTATGGGCATGGGCAAGGTAGGCCCATTCTAGTTTGTTTAAAATTAATTACAGTAATTCTACTCTATGTCATCAGAATTAAAGAAATAGGTAGCTGGCGGAGCTGGGAAGGTGGCTCAGTGGTAGAGCACTTGCCTTGCATGCATGAAGCCCTGGGTTCGATTCCCCAGCACCACATAAGCGAAAAGAAAAAAAGTTGGAAGTGGCACTGTGGCTCAAGTGGTAGAGCGCTAGCCTTGAGCTGAAGTGCTGAGGGACAGCGCCCAAGCTCAGAGTTCAGGCCCCACGACCGGACCCAAAAAAAAAAAAAAAATAGGTAGCTGGTGTGGTTATATCATGAGCCTGGCATGGTGATGTTCCTCTTAAGAGGTCGAGGCAGGAGGATTGCTTAAATATGGACCTTCAAGACCAGCCTAGGCAACACCAAGAGATTCTATTTCAAATAATAACAACAAACTAATGACACTTCTGAGAGGAAGCCCTCTAGATTTCTATGATTTTACCCATTAAATGAGAAATGTATAAAAGAAAATGACTCTTCAACTTTTTTGACCTCTGGATTTGTGCAAACAGAAGTCTGAAACCTTTGACAACAGTGGCCACCATGTGGAAAAAAATAAGAATTAAACTATTCCTATATCAATACTGAATCTACCCACTTGTGAATTGTTAAGTGAAGAAATAAATCCTACTATTAAGGCTTCTCCTACTTCCATCCTCAAATAATGTAATAGCTCTATTTCTAATACAACTACAGAATTAACTGGTCTAGAATTAATTGGCCAGGATGAACTGCAGAATAAACTTGTGGTTAGATCCAATGAATTGGTTCTCAACTGTGAGTGGTACGTATCTCCAACAGGAACGATGGATGAGGAGATAGAGAAATTAAAACTAATATTGAAAGGACCTGACTCAAATATTAAAACAGTGAAAACCGAAAAATTCAGAGCAACAAGTTCCCTTCTCATCTATGGCTGCTTGTGAAGCTTACTTACATCACTTATTTTTAGATACTAGGTTATAAGACAGGGCTCTCTGAGTCTGCCTTCTTCTTTCAGATGCTAAGAAACTGTCAACAAACTCACTAAGGGTAAAGAGAAATAGAACCAGAAAGCATTTCTGGTAAAAGGAAGTCTTAAAGTCATCTATTGTCCCTGTGTTTGAGGTAGGCCTAGATCTATGTTTTAGAATAATAAGCAGAACTAAGCCACCTTGAAACACAGCCTAATGATTAAGAGTTCACAATTGACATGAAGATGTGTATTATTACAGCTCATGAGGAACTAGAACACAAATAAGTTTTTAGTATTTACATATAGCAGAATGCTAAACAGCAGTAAAATTAAGAATGAACTATTAATACATCCGAAACATGGATGAAGCTCAAGACTCAGAAAGAAGAATAAACCAAATGTAAGAGAAAATATCATATATTATCAAGAAAGGGTTAAAAATTAATGGGGGAAGAAAATAAGATGTTTACTTCAGAATAGGGAGGAAGAGTTTGTAAAGATCTTTATCCTATGATAGAAATATTCCATCTACTAATATGGGTGAAGGTTACAGAAATTCACACATGTATCTGTTTATTATATACATAAAAGTTTGCCCTCTAGATTACATGTAGATCACAGTACTAATATGCAAAATTTTTAAACTCGAGTCACAAAGGAGAAGTAATCTGCATGCAGAGATTTTAACAACTTCATTAGAGAATAGAAAATAATCTATTCAATATAGGTACTGTAGCTCACATCCAGCATCTCAGTAACTCAGAAAGCAGAGATTGGAAGGATTATGGTACTAGGTCAGCTTGGGCAAAAAGTTAGCAAGACCCCATCTCAATCAATGGACATGGTAGCTTGTATCTATGTTCTCTACTACACAAGCAGTCATAGATAGGAGGATTATGGTCTGCGGCTTACCCTAGGCAAAAACTAAGATACTATCTGAAAAATAACTAAAAGCAACAACTCTAAACTCTAAACAATTAACAAACTGTTTTACAAAATGAATACCAGGAATGGAAACATGCTGGTGGTTGAGGGGCACAGGAACAGAGGGAGGGAAGGAAGGTAAGCAAAAGTAGTCATTATATTCAGTGTATATTATGTAAAAAGAATGAACTACATAACTTGAGGGCAGGGACAGGAGGGTGGGGGGGAATGGGGAAGAATGATAGAAAGGGTGACACTGATCAAGATTCATTGTGCTCATAACCTGACTTACAGAATTAACCTCTTTGTACAATTATTTAATAAAAATTTAAAGTAACAGGAAATACACACACAATAGAAAATAAATCAAATAAAAAGAACTTAAAAAAAACTAAAAGCAAAAAAAAAAGTCTAGCGTTCCGTCTCAAGTGATAGACTAGATCCTGAGTTTATTAAGATTTCCAGCACCACAAAATTATCACTATCATTGTTCTGTTCTGCCAATGTCTACAGTCTTTTTTTCTCAACTGGACTTCCTAAAGTATGGCAAATTGTTAGGATTTTAAAACTTGATTTTCTCTTAGGAATTATGAATTCTAGATTATATTTGTTCAGCCACACATTCTTTCATTCACAAAATACATGAAGTAGATAGTATGTTACACCCTTCATTTTGAGTATCAAAGGGAGAGCATTAAGGTAAGGCAGTGACTGGTTCACAGGTCTTCTGGGGTGACTGACTTGTGAGAACAACGAAGAGCTGGAGAAGTGAAATCAGAAAGCAGTAACAGGCCAGATTACATACGACCTTGGATCATTGAAATCAACTTGGTTATCATGTGGGGAAAACTGAATTTTTGATGCCAGGTAATGGTGTAGTGAAGGAGGGTAGGAGCCACACAGAGTGACGACCCAATTATGAGTCATTTATGATAGCAAAGTTGGCCTGATTCACTGATGGGTGAATTGCCTGCGAAGACTAGGAACGACCATAGGCTTCCTTTCAGAGAACTAAGTGTGGAGAATTCTAACATTCAAAGGTCAAGAAGCTAATGAGAAAGCAGCAAAGGAGACTGAGAAGAACTCCTTTGCAAGGTAAAAGGAGCCCAGGGGAATAAAGTGCTCCCAAAGCCATAAAAAGAAAGCATTTTCTGGAGGGAAAAATGCTTAATGAGAAATATGAGAAATGACTGGTGGGCTCTGCAACACAGGAGGTTAAGATAAAGGAAAGTAGGACTGCTGGGTGGCAGGGAGGAGTGTTCTGCAAGCTGCTTCAGCAGCACAGCAGCAGAGGGAAAGCTGTATTGAGAGTGGCTGGGCAAGCAAGAGAGGGAGACAGCAGAGTAAAAAGGGAGGGTTGTAAGAGGAAGGGGAAGGGGGACAGAGAGATGGAGAGCTGGAGTAATAATGAAACCACAAGGCACAGGGAGAGTGCACCAGGAAACTACAAGTAGGAGGTTACCAAAGGTTTGCTTAAAACTAAGATTAATGAAGCCTTCTTACTGTATTACCTTCTCCTATTCGATGTAGTTGTTAAGGGAGGGTAGAGATCAGGGTAGGGTCACTGTAGATAGTCAAGTATGGTAGCTCACACATGTAATCCCCATTTAAAAAGCAGGAAGTCTGCAAGCCCCTATCACAACCAAAACACAGGTGGGCATCATGGTGTCTGCTGTCCCAGTTACATGGGACGTATAAACAGGACTGTGATCCAGTCTGGCCTAGGCAAAAAACAAGACCCGGTGGACCGGTTGCAACAATGAGAAGTAAAAGTTGTCATGTCAAAAACGAGCTTTACAATGTTGGGGGGGGGGGGGGGGGAGGACTGGGACTGGGGGGGGAGGGGGGAGGCTGGGAAGGGATGTGAAGGATAAACAAAGGTGGAGGCTGCAATGCTTGGTAAGAAATGTACGCATTATCCTCCCCATCTAATTGTAACCCCTCTGTACAGTATGTTCACAAATAAAATAAAATTAATAAAAAAAATTTAAAAAAAAACAAGATCCCATTGGAAAAATAACAAAAGCAAAAAAGGGCTAGAGGTAATGCTCATGGCTTGAATGCTGGGTAGCAAGTGCAAGGTCCTGAGTTCAAATCCTAGTACCAACAACAAAAAAGATCATCTCACAAAACTGAGAAACTAAGTCCGAATCTTAAGAGGTTCTAGGTGTGCTTCAAAATCACCAAACATGAAGAAAGGCGCTGTGCTGTAAAGAATAACAACTAGGACCAGAAAATGGGCAATGGAGTCACTAGAGGGTTGCAATGAGGTGTGAAGAGCCCTGTTTTCATCCCATTCCCCTCTCTCCAGGAAGATCTCCCCCGCTTCCTCCTCTCCCCCTTCCCTCTCTCTCTCTCTGTTTATGCATATACACGGATGCATACTCCTGAAAACAGTATTGTTTGATTTTTACATGAATGGTATTACACTTTCTTTTCCATAAATTTCTAAAACTTGTTACAGTTCACAAAAAGACTTCCTTATAATATAGTTCATAGTACTGTAAATCCAATTCTAACAGGAAGAAACATCCCTTAAGTATATTTACCTTGAAGCTTTCTACTAAGTTCAAGTTTTTCCTGTTCAAGGCGCTTAATTCTTCTTTCATAAGCTTCAGTTGCTAAGTTGTTATCTAGAGTCCTCTGGACATTAACATCAAGATCCAGCGATGTAGGACCAGCTGTAACTCTTAAACAGCTCCGATCAGAAAGAACACTAAAGAATAGATACAGAAAAAAGTATGTGGATTCATGGTATACTAAGAAGTTTAAAGAAAAAGATAACCTTTTTAAATTCTTCATTTAAACAATTATAACGAACAGTTTAACCACAATGAATCCCAGGAAACTGAAACATGTTTTGTCAGGGGAGGGAACAGGCATACACAAATGGGTGAGTAAGGTGAACAAATACAGTCATTCTGTCCAACGTAACATATGTGAAAATGGAACCATGTCACTTGAGAGGAAGGAAGGGAGAGGGAAAAATGGGAGAGAAAAGGAGTGACATTCATCAAGGTGCATGTACTCTAATCTGAAGTGAACTGAATCCTCTTTGTACAGATGTTTACAAGCTTTTTTTTTTTTTAAAAAAAAAAAAGGGCTGGGAATGTGACTTAGTGGGAGAGTGCTTGCCTAGCATGCATGAAGCCCTGGGTTCAATTCCTCAGTACCACATACACAGAAAAAGCCAGAAGTAGTGCTGTGGCTCATGTGGTAAAGTGAGCAAGCCGTGAGCAAAAGAAGTTCGGGGACAGTGCTCAATCCGAGTTCCAAGCCCCAAGAATGGCCAAAAAATAAATAAATAAAGTGTAGAAGTGAACACAACTGTATCTTATGACATTGTATCCTGCTCCCAACTTCATAATTCCTTCAGCAAATTCAATTTTACGTATACTAAAAAATTTTAAAACATGGATTTCAATATCTATAGTTAGCCACCTAGAAAGATTTTATAAAAAATAACTTTTACAAAATTACCTTAAGATACTTTTACAAGTATTTTTAAATAAAAACTTAACTCTCCTAAATTATCTTGAATTTTAAAAAGTGACCGCAAATTACAAAATAAAAATTGCTGAAGACTTATGAATACTTTAAAATAACTTAAACACTTAAGTAACAGAGTTGTTCACAACTTCCAACCATGTTGGTCTCTGACAGAATCTGAAATTCAAACCTTAAACGTAAGGTACATTCTTTGACTCAATACATGTTAAAGATACTTGAAATGATGGGCATTCGTAAGTGAATAAACAAACAAAATTCTTATCAATGTATAACTTAAATTCTTTTTTTTTTTTTTTTTTTGGGGTCCGGTCGTGGGGCCTGAACTCTGGGCCTGGGCGCTGTCCCTCAGCTCTTCAGCTCAAGGCTAGCACTCTACCACTTGAGCCACAGCGTCACTTCCGACTTTGTTCTTTTTGCTTATGTGGTGCTGAGGAATCGAACCCAGGGCCTCAGGCATGCAAGGCAAGCGCTCTACCACTGAGCCACCTTCCAAGCCCATCTTAAATTCTTATAATGGACAAAAATAAGCAAAGTAGAAAGTGTTACCTGCTAAAGAGAAAACCCATAAAGCAGGAAAGAGAGAAATAAAATCTTAGGGCTGGGAAGGTAGCTCAGCGGTAGAGTGCATGCCTTGCAAGCATGAGGCCCTGGGTTCAATTCCTCAGCACCACATAAACAGAAAACGCCGGAAGTGGCGCTGTGGCTCCAGTGGTAGAGCGCTAGCCTTGAGCTGAAGAGCTGTGGGACAGTGCCCAGACCCAGAGTTCAGGCCCCATGACTGGCAAAAAAAAAAAAAAAAAAAAAAAGAAAGAAAATCTTAATGGGGAAAAGATTAAAATTTAGGTCAACTGGTTGGCACAGTTGTCTTGCAAAGGTAACAGAAAAATCCAAGCAAGCTGAAGGTAGCAGCCAGGGAAATGGGAAAGGTAAGAAGAACTGAGACAAGATTTGGGGCCCAGGAGGATCTGTGTGGTTCGGCAGAGTAAAACTAGGGAAAAAGCAATAGAAAATAAAATCAGAAAGATAAAAGTGAGTTCACCGTGCAGGGTCTTCTAAGAACTTGGGTTTGAGGTGAGGCAGTCACTGGAACTAGAAAGTAGAGGAGCTCTGACCTGAATAGAGAATGACAGGTGGCCTTGTTTTTCTATAGAAAACTTGGACACACCGAGGGAAATACAAAGATGTCAACACCTGCTTTCACTGTATTTGATGTTGGTATAATTTGTGGAGGGGAAGGGAAAACACAAATTGTTTAAATAGGGATATAGGTGGACATTGCAACAATGAGATGTACAAGTTATTATGTTGAAAAACGAACTTTACAACTTGTGGGGGGGTGGGAAGGGATGGGAAGGGAAAACAAAGTAGGAGGCAACAATGCTTGATAAGAAATGTACTCATTACCTTGCCCATGTAATTGTAACCCCTCTGTACGGTATTTTCACAATTAAAAAAAAAAAGCCAGAAAAAAAAGATGTCAACTTAGTAATAGAGATAGTTAGGACAGATTTTGCGTAAAAGGAGAAGAAAATGTCCACTACAGATGTAGTAGGAGATCAGAACGTAGACTGTGAAAGGAAATTCAAAGACGAAGCCCTATAATACTGATGCTCAGAAATCAGAGAGACGAGGAATATAGTATAGAGACAAAGAAGCAACCAGAAAGATAAAAAGAAAACCAGAGCTGGGCGCTGGTGGCTCACGCCTGTAATCTTAACTACTCAGGAGGCTGAGATCTGAGGATCACGGTTCAAAGCCAGCCCAAGCTGGAAAGTCCATGAAACTCTTATCTCCAATAAACCACTAGAAAACCAGAAGTGGTGCTGTGGCTCAAGTGGTAGAGCTAGCCTTGAGCTGAAGAGCTGAGACAGTGCCCAGGCCCAGAGTTCAAGCCCCACGACTGACAAAAAAAGAAAAAGAAAAAGAAAACCAGATGAGTGTTTTAGTGGTACAGACTGTAACCAAAAAATGAGACTGGGGGGGAAAACAGACTAGGAATGAGAATTATCAGATTCAGCAATACAAGGAAGGCCACCAATAGCTCATGTCTGAAATCCTACAACTCAGAAAGCTGAGGTCAGAGGACCATGGTTTGAAGCCAGCTCAGGCAGTTACCTCTAGTTAACCAGCAAAAAGCCAGGCAGGAGGTGTAGTGCAAATGGGAAAGGGCCACTGTAAGCAAAAAAAATCTTGAGGGGCTGGGAAGTTGGCTCAGTGGTAGAGCGCTTGCCTTGCATGCTCGAGGCCCTGGGTTCGATTCCTCAGCACCACATAAGCAAAAAGAAAAAAGCCGGAAGTGGCGCTGTGGCTCAAGTGGTAGAGTGCTAGCCTTGAGCTGAAGAGCTGAGGACAGTGCCCAGGCCCAGAGTTCAGGCCCCACGACCGGACCCAAAAAAAAAAAAAAAAAATCTTGAGGAGTCCAAGGCCCTCACGGTATAAGCCCCACTACCAGCAAAGTCCCACCCACCCCCACCCCCCCCCCCCCCGCAAAAAAATGTAGCAACATCAATCAATAGTGACATCAAGAAAAACAGCTTACAGTTTACATGAGATAACAGTGTTGGATTCCCTCCACACTATGAGAAAAGCTCATAGTCAACCCAATTCCATCATAAGGCAGAACAGAAAAATGGCTGGTAATAAGTAGAAGAAGTGGGATCCATAGAAGCTTTACAGCTCACTTTAAGACAGAAGAAACTTGTGGGCTGATGGACAGGATCTGAGAGTACAGGTGACTCAGAAAGGGGAAAACATATACTGTAAAGTGAACAATGCACCATCCTAGGCAGGAGAGGACAGAAGGCTGGCTGTGACTAGGAACCTTCAGGATCAATCCATGAAAAGAAGAACATATGTCAGTCCACAGGTTTTGTGAAGACAGTAACTTGTAGAAATGTCTGCTGTGGGCACTGATCCTCTCAGAAGAGGTGGAAGCGAGATCAGCTGAGAGTACGGATGAGAGGCTTTAGACACAGACAATATGCAATAATCATCTGGGTGCATGGAGGACCTGCCACAAAGCAGTTAGGGCATTGGAGGCTTGAGAACATAAATCTAAAAGAAGACCAGAATGGCTGGTTTTCTCCTGTACTCTGAACTGCTCACGTACAGACAGAGGTGACTTTTAATAACAAACATGTGCTTAACAAAGAAGTACAACATAAATCACAACAAAGGAGTGAGGTCTATGACCATGCTTGATGGCATTTCAACAGGATAAGGAGGAACAAGAGGATGCCTAGGAGGGACCAGCGCATGATATCTCAGAACATTTACCTGCTACTCCCAGATCCTCCCCACTGCAAAAGAGTCTGACCTCTACTGATTCTACTCTTCCCCTCCAAAATGAGATAATAGTCTGTGTATTCTATTCATTCTGTAGTACTGTAGTACCTTAGTTTTTCCACAAGTAGATTCGTCCTGTTTGATTTCTTTTTTTAAATCGGTCATGTGGCTTGAACTCTGGGCCTGGGCACTGTCCCTCAGCTCTTCAGCTCAAGGCGAGTGCTCTACCACTTGAGCTACAGCAGCACTTCCAGTTTTCTAGTGGTTTACTGGAGATAAGAGTCTCATGGTCTTTCCTGCCCGGGCTGGCTTTGAACCGCAATCCTCAGATCTCAGCCTCCTGAATAGCTAGGATTACAGGTATGAGCCACCAGCACCTGGCTTGTTTGAATTTTTTTTTTTTATTTTAAAAGGCCTTCCCATACGTTTTTTTAAGTCTCAGTTCATTTTCTCTTCCCCTCCCCCAACACTGGGACCATGCATTTGGTAGACTGGCACTCTATCACTTGAGCCGTATGTTCAGTCTTGTTTTTTGTATTTTTGTTTTGTTTTGGTCGGTTGTGGGGCTTGAACTCTGGGCTTGGGTGCTGTCCTTGCGCTCTTCAGCTCAAGGCGAGCGGTCTACCACTTGAGTCTACCAAGTGAGCAACCACTTCTGGTTTTCTAGTAACCACTAGACTTTCCTGCCTGGGCTTTGAACCGAGATCCTCAGGTCTCAGCCTCCTGAGTACCTAGGATTACAGGCGTGAGTCACCAGTGCCTGGCTTTTTTTTTGTTATTTTTTAAGAGAAGTTCTCAAAAAATTTTCTGCCTGGACTACCCTCAAGTTGAGATTCTCATGTTCTCAGACTCTGAAATAGGAAGGATTTACAGGAATGAACTACTAGCACTCAGCATTCAATTCACTTTTGGCTTACTATAAATTGTCCTAATCATATTAACTTTCAAAACTTACCAGCTACTAGTATATGTGAAACCAACAAATGGCAGATGGTGACCAGAAAACGCAGCATGTGTTGGTGGGGGCATTGTTTCCTAAGAAAAACAAACACAAACAAAAAGCAATCTGGTAAGAAACAGACAACAGCCATTACCTACAGGTTGGGCTACAAAAACAGTACCCATCCACGCCATACTGGCTTCATCTAGTGGAGCCCAGGAGAGAAGAGTGACTGAAATTTGGCCAAGTCCATGTGCCCTGCCATTTGCCGCCAGCATGGCGTGAGGAAGGCTCATCTCCACTCACTCAGGGGGAGCACTGCTGCTGTGGGTATTCAGCCCGCCAGATTCAGTCTGCCCCCACTGGCAGGAGAGCACTTGTTTCTACATCCAGGCGCAAGCTATATGTACACCTGTCACAACAACACTGGGGATGGGGGAGCATCTGTTAGGTGTGACTTAAACCAGAGTTCCAGAGTTTTCCATGAACAAATACTCCTCAATTTATTTTTCCTGGTTAATATATTAAGTAAGTCCTGAAATGCCTGTTTTGGGTCAATTTTTCTACTTTCCTGATTGGTTTTAGGGACAGATCTGGCAAGCCCTACTTTCTCATTCATGAAATCTGCTCTTTTAAGAATCTAGTATGTTTCTGTCCTTAGGAAATATGCTGGTTTAACTTATGTATGAAATAAATCTCTGAATTTTGGTCTTGGTTGTGGACGCTATATTGACCTCAGAAACTTAGTTTCTTGGTTTTATGATCAAAAAAGCACTGGAAGCCAGGACCATTGCCTGACTGGTAAGCAACAACAAGATGACATGGTGATCTTAGTACAATACTTGTAAACCAAAAAAAAAAAAAATTACTTTATTAGCCATATTTGAAAAGAACAGAGGGACAAACTTCATCACAATGCCATACTTACAGAATTTTTTAAACAGTCATCGTCCACATCAAAATTAGACGTATCAGTTGGGCTACTAACTTCAGGAATATATGGTGCTTCACAGTTTCGAATATTATCCCAATCAATTCCACTGAAAAATGGATGTTTCTTAAAGTCTTCTATTCCATTTTGACCAAGTCGATGTTCTCTGCTACAAATGAGTCTTCGAATAAGATCCTTTGCATTTTCAGACACATCAGTCACTTGGGCTGGAAACTGGAACCTCTCCTATAAAAGAATAAACATAAATCAGCACAATCTACAAAGTAGGGTGATTGACTTACTTATTTTCTTAAAAAGGTATTTCCTTTTTAATCACAGTGTGGTAGCACACCCTTACAGTCCCAGGTACTAAGGAGGTAAAGGTAGGAGTACTGCCATCCACGGCTGTCTCAGACAAGACTCTACCTGAGAAACAAACTAGAAGCACAAGTATCGGGGCGGGGGGGGGGGGGGGGGGGGGAGGCAGCGGGGGCCGTGGAATCCATAATGCAAGTGGTAGAGTGCTTGGCTAGCAAGCATGAGATCATTCAATCCCCAGTAGTGGCACTGAGTTCAATCCTCAATACTGCCTCCCCCACCAAAAAAAAAATAATAAAAATTTGTATATGCATGCTTCTGCTACATAGTACTGATACTAAAGTGCACATAAGGATGAATGAGAAAAAACATTTAAAAGACTTCAAATTCCATTGGTGACTTGGAGATGTACTATAAAAAGAGTAAGTACTGTAACAATTAAAATGCCATTAGAATGGAGAGGAACTGATGAAAGTAGAAGGAATTTGATTTATATTTCACTAGAATGCAGGTAAGCAAAATGTCTATATAAAGTACAGTAAGAACTCTAATGACTAACTGATACAAAAACACATTCAAAGAATTCCACACACAAATCTGACAGTATTCAAAGTGATTTACTCATTAACTTCCTCCAATCCTCACACAATTATCTTATGTGGGCACTATTATGGTGACCTCATAGACAAAATAACCTGGGCACAGAATGCTCAGGTAAGTCTCTCGATATTATACAACTAATGGTGACAGATAGGGATGCCGAGCCTTGGCTATCTCAGAATCAATGCAGTTGACATTTTCACTAAAAACCACGTGACCCCTTTCTGAATTGGTGCATGTGTTGCTTTCAACTTGCAACCGTTTGCCGTTTTTCAACTCTTCTCAAATACTAAGAACACTCCTGGGCAGCTGGGCAGAAGAGCTCAAACTCTGTTAAAGTGATTTATAAATAGGGTTGGAAATGCCCAGCCCAAGGGGTTGAAATCACCTGATACCTGATGGGACACATCTGCTTCCCATGGCCTGCCTGCTTTTAATGATCATTTTGTATGGCCCAAGAATGATGTTACAAGATTCAAATGGCCCTGGACAGAAAAAAGGATCCCCATTTCCTTGCTCTATATATATGTAAGCAACTAATCACCTGCATCACCAGAACAGTTTGGGAACAAATTCGCTTTCTGGGGATGTCCAGAGTCATATACAGAACTTCTGTAACTGCTCTCCAGCATGCCAAGATGAGCAATCATTCTTTCTTGCTCTTTACATACATTCTACTGTGCTTTACTTAGTAGGTATGGACTCACGTTTTATAAATACGTGCCTGATGAGTGTCTGGGCTGTTTCCAATGTTCTACGATGATTAATACTGGAAGAGCTAAAGAGTGCACATTCTGGTACTCCTGAATGTTTCTATCGGGTGGGTACATTCTCAAACCTGAACTTACTCAAGCCTAAGGCTTCTTGAAAGAAAGGCTACACCAGTTTATATTCCCAACAACAGTATTGTAGTACCCATCACATTGTTTGCTGTATGGAGCATAGTTTTTTTTCCTTTTTTGTCAATTTGACAAGAAAAAAGTGTCTCGGTTTTATTTACATTTACTACTACTAAAGTTAAAAGGATTTTTACATTAATTCTTATTTAAAAGACCTGATAAGAAATGTCTACTTAATGACATTCCATTCAATTTTCTACTAATCAGTATTTATAAATAAAATACAGAAAAAAAAGAAATAATAATTTCAGGAATAGTAATTTATGGTTTGTCATTACTCACGTGTGTCCCCTACTAGCAACAAAGTATGAATTATTTTCTCTCGCAACCTTATTTGTATTAAACGTTAATATTTCTCATAACAATTAGAAAAAAAGTAAAATACAATACTAACTTTGTGGTTCATGATTTTTCCATAAGTCTCCACAAGAGATTCTGCATAGAAGGGTGTTTCTCCATAGAGCATTTCATACATACAGACCCCCAGGGACCACCAGTCACACTCAGGTCCATATCTGCCTTTGCCATCTTCCATGGCTTGAAGAATTTCAGGAGAAATATAATCTGGGGTGCCAACTGCCACTGAGGACTGAACCTAAAGAAGTGTATACCTTTATTAGCACAGTGTAAAATATTAAAGACAAAATATTTCATATTAAAAAGTTATATTCCCTCCCTTGAGGTACACAATAGACAACCTAGCTCATAACTACTATGTCTTTGTTTCCTGGGTTATACAGATATGATTTACCATAATCTCCAAACTAGTGGGTTTTATAATACCATTAAACTTTCATTATAATAACTATTATTCAACTGGCTACACTTAGGCACAGTTACAATAGGGCTTATCCATAAACTCACAGCCATTCCTCTTCCCTGTAGAAGTGATCTTGCAATCAGTGTTTCATGAGACCCTGGTTGGCTCCTTCTTTACCTGGTAAGTATTTACTGTTATGCTTGAGACACTTCCAAGAGGGATAAAGAAACTGCCTCATATTGAAAAAGAAAATGCAAATCCATCCTCTTATTTTTCTTTCCTAATCATATAATTGCTGAGGGAATAATTACTCTTTCCTACTTTCCCTAAGACATTTAATTATTATTTTAAATTGTGGCAACAAATGCAGAACAAAATTTGCCATCTTAATCATTTTAAGGCTAGGTCAGTGACCACAGTATCTTCGTATGTTGAGCAGCTAAACACCATCATCCATCTTACAAGCCTTTCTTCCACCATTAAACAGTAATTCTACCATTTCCCCTCCCCTTAGTGCCTAGACATTATTGAACTTCATCTCTTCAACTCTGACAACTCCAGTACATCCTATACACGGAATTTTACAATCTTTTTCCTTCTGGGAAAGTCATTTCACTTAAGGGTCCTCTATGTTGCTGACATATCAACTTCCTTCTCTGTAGGAAGTTGGTATTGGTGACTTGCACCAACATACCACATTTTGCTAGTCCATTATGTTGACGGACATTTGGATCACTTCCATATATTAGCTGTTCTAAACAATGAGGCTGGCAAAGAGTATACAGATACCTGGTCGGTCTGTTTCATTTCTTCTGGGTATACAACCAGAAGTGGAAAGTCTTAGGTTACATGGCAACATTATTTTTTAATTTCCTGAAAATCTATTTTCCTTTTAGGCTCTACTTTTCCATATTCCAACAAATTATTCCCAGGGGTTCCAGTTTAGTCACACCCTTGACATTATTTGCTATCTTTGGGTTTCTTCCATATCAGCTATCCTACTGGGTGTGAGATAGTATCTCCTGTGGTTCGTTTGCATTTCTCAAATGGTTTACAGTGCAACCTTTTCATATGCTTATCAGCCATTAGTCCTAGTCAGGCTTCTTGGTTATTCAGTGGGCTTGTTTTCCCAGTGGAATTACAGCCTTTCTTTTCATATTTTAGGAGAAAGCGTGTTAGAAGACATGTGATTGCAAATGTTTTTCTCCCAGTCTACATGCTGCCTTTTCATCCTGCATCAAATGTGTTTTTGAGGAAAAGAATGATTTATCTATTGAAAAAATAATTTTAGGGGCTGGGAAGGTGGCTCAGTGGTAGAGCACTTGCCTTGCATGCATGAGGCCCTGGGTTTGATTCCTCAGCACCACATAAGCAGAAAAAGCCAGAAGTGGCGCTGTGGCTAGAGATGAAGAGCTGAGAGACAGCGCCCAGGCCCAGAGTTCAGGCCCCATGACCAATAAAAAACAACAACAACAACAACAAACTAAACTTTACCAGGAAAAAGGCACAAAAGACAGAGAAGGAAACAAAAGGATGCATGTAAATAAACAGGCAAAATCTAGAAATAAATACAAATAAACTGACAAAATCCTCTAAAAGACAAGAGTTATAATTGGGTCTGGCAGTTCACACCAATAATATGAACACTCTTTGAGACTGAGGAAGAAGGGTGCAAAGTTTAAGGCCAGTTTGGACTACACAGTGAATGCTGTCAAAAAACTATAAAGACATAGCTCTTCAGGATTACAGGAGGCTGAGGTGCAAAGGATCACAACTGAACACCAGTCTAGGCAGATAAGTCCATGAGGCTCTACCACCAAAACATCTAGCCATTTAAGCCATACCTTCAGTCTTGCTTAAATGGCAGAGTGCCAGCAGAACAAGTGCAAGGTATTACGTTCAAACCCAAGTACCAGGAAAGAAAAAAGGGGAGAGACGGAGTGGTAGTAAAGGGATAGAAAGGATGTATCAGGTGTACATGACACAAGAGAAATAAGGTAGCTATAGAAATATCAGCTCAAATAGATTCCAAGGTGAAAAATCACTATTAATGAAGCCAATGCTGGAGAAACATACAGAAACCTGCAGCAAAAGCAAAGGAGAGTCACACAGTGAATCGCATACGAGCATGAGAGAGCAGCAGCTCTGCAGCGGACCACAGGACATGCACACTGCCTGACCATCTACATATGCACAGGGAACATTCTTAGCATCCTGCCTCCTAGAAATGAACTCTGTCATCTTTTATTTGAAAATATTTTCAATCCAATTTCACTTTAGAAGGGTAATTTTGCTTGATATACAATTCTGTTTACCTTTTCTCTTCCCACACTTTAAACATGTCATTCTACAATCTCTAATGAGAAGTAGGTGGTTATTCTTATCATCTCTGTCCTGTATATAGTATGTTCAATATCTGAACCATCGAGGCTACTACTGCCTTTTCTTTGGACTCTGTATATCACTATCCTCATATGCAGTTGTTTGATATAGTGACTTTTAGGTTGAATCTTACTCATCAGGATTAAAATAGATTGTGATGCTAATAGTATGTATGGCTTATATCATCTTCAGAAGGAGAATAATTCTTTTTTTTTTTTTTTTTTTTTGCCAGTCATGGGGCCTGAACTCTGGGTCTGGGCACTGTCCCTCAGCTCTTCAACTCAAGGCTAGTGCTCTACCACTGGAGTCACAGTGCCACTTCAGGCTTTTTCTGTTTATGTGGTGCTGAGGAATCGAACCCAGGGCCTCATGCTTGCAAGGCATGCACTCTACCGCTGAGCTACCTTCCCAGCCCTGGAGAATAATTCTTAGATACATATAATTGACTGAATATTTCCTTGAACATGTTGCCACACACACATTGTGAGTACAATATGTGCAAAGTCTACAATTCATCATAAGCCCTGTTGGCAGGGACCACTCCCAAACATTGAGGCTGTTAGAACAAGTTCAAAGTGGGTCTTAAGTGTTACAAAAGATTAACTGGTTCTTGAGAGGCAAACATCCATCTCAGCATTGTTTCTCCTCCAGCATCTGCTCTGTTTCCAAGTGGGTAACCCCATTCTTTGGTAGATCTCCTCGAGCCTGCAGTGCTGTCTCTCTAATGTCTCTAACTCCATTCTAGCACCAGGAGTTAGGAGCTATCTCAATGCTAGGCACTCCTCAAGAGGTCATTCCTGTCAGAGTAACTTAGGCTGCTTGTTGTCAACTGCATGAAAACAGCTGCATCAAACACTGTGCCTGGCTGTATAGGTATATTAGGTAGAAAGGCCAATCTGCTATTAATTTTTCCTTTCATTGTGGTCAGAAGCAAAAATATCTATTTGTAAAATATTAGGGTTTTAGAATTAATTTTCAGAGTGAAATTATGGTTCAGAGTAATGTGCGATACCTTTGGGAATTTATTATACTAAACTGTTCCCCAAAATTTTTTTATCAATTGAATTAACATATATTAGGGCCTCTACTACAGTGCCAGAAAAATTCAAAGAACGGAAAACAAACACGCAAAAGAAAGCTGAGCATGTTAGAATAATACAATATTCTCAGTACTTGGAAGGGAGAGTCAGGAAGATCAAGAGTTCAAGGCCAGCCTGGGATACATATAGTTCTAGTCCAAAAAAATTCATAATTTAAAATAAAATATATGCATGTAAACTTTAAAGTAAATGAAAGAAAACAACCAGGAAGTTTAGAGTTAGCATAAGGTAAACAAATGGAACCATAAAACTAACACAACTTAAACCTTAGTGTGAAACACTACTCTTCAGGTTATGTTATTAGTAAAGAAAAATACAAGAGGGTGGAGTTGCATTTTCTTTTCCAGTATGAGACTTATTTTCTCTATCCCTCTAAAAACTTGAAAATGCCTCAAGTACAACAATAAATAGTTACCAGCTAATGAAGGTGTCATAAAACATCCACTCCACGATCACTTCTACAAGCAGGAAGAATGGCTGTGACTTTATAGAAAAGCCCTACTGTGAGTAAGTATGCCCAATGTCTTTGTGGAAGGAGCTGAAACATAGACAGGAAAACAACTGGATGTCTGAATAAATACAGATGACTTCTGAAACACAGAAAGCAGGTATAACAAGGGGACGTGTCTGCAGGTAAAATAATTTGGGATTCATTTTTATTTACCGTTCCATCTTCCATCAGTTTCAGACAAGACCCAAAATCTGCTAAACGAATATGTCCATTCATATCCATCAATATATTGTCAGGTTTAATGTCTCTGAAAAAAATACATATTCCATTGTTAGTTGGGAAAATAAACAATCTACTGTTTGGTAAAGATAACCTTGGTAAAAGACAATCTTTTTTTAGTCAAAAATCTCAAAACTTTTTCCTAGGGCTTGAACTCAAGGACATGGGTAATGTCCTTGAATCTCTATGTGCTCAAAGCTAGCTAGCATTCTACCACTTGAGCCAGTGCCACTTCTGGCTTTTTCTTAGTAGATTATTAGAGATGAGAGTCTCATGGACTTTTCTGCCTGGGCTGGCTTCAAACCATGATCCTCATATCTCAAACTCCTGAATAGCTAGGATTATAGACCTGAGCCACCAGTGCCAGTTCAAACTCCTTTTTTTAAGGCAATACTCTAAAAAAAAAAAAATCTACTTAACTACTTTATAGGTTAAAACTCTACCTTTGATTAATATCAAATCCTTTTTAAATACCTCTAATTTCTGTACTATCCTAGAAAAAACAAATAGTGTGGTAATTTGCACAGGTAACACAACACTGTCAAAAGTCATCACTGAAAATTTTGTATGATTTATCATCACTGTGATTTATCAAAACATCCTATTTGTGTGATTTATCCTATATGTTTCAATATTTTTTTAATATCCAAGGGGTATCATCTTAAAAATATGACACTGGAGTCATGGAAGGAGTTTTTAATACAGATTTCATTTCTTTAAATGTTTTTGGTATACTCAGATACAAATATTTCAATTTTATTCTACTGCATATATTACGGTGGTATTTTTCTGATAAAAGATATCTACAGTTTCAAATATATTAGAACATAGTTCTTCATAGTATTAAGAATTTTTAAAATTTACTATATGTAATTATATAATTATTTATATATTGTATAATTTATATTTGTAGTTCCATTCTTCAGAATCTTTGTAACTTTTCTCTTTTGTTCTTGACAAAAACAAAAAACCAGTGCTTACTTAGCACTTTATTTCCTATGTGGTGTTCCAAGTGCTTACTTAATACTAATGACTGTGTGAGATGTGTACAACTACTTACTCCATAGCACCTAAAGCATTAAGGATCACCGCCAGTCAGAAGTCCTAACAGCAGACTGGCTCCCAAGTCTTTATGCCTTACGCCTAGATATTTGCTTCTTTAGTAACTATTTCAAAATAGCATATTTCAATTTACTAATGATCCTCTCCTTATTTCTGTATTTCATCTATTTTTTAAAATACTTTTTCTTCTCTGTAATTCAATTTAACTTTGCTGTTCTTCCCTTGGTTGCTAAGTCGGAGGTTTAGTTCATTTTTTCCAGTCTTTCCTTTTTTAACATTTCAAGACTGGGGATTTTAGCCAAGTGCCAGTGGCTCACACCTGTAATTCTAGCTACTCAGAGGCTGAGATCTGAGGATCAAGGTTCAAAGCCAGCCTGGGAAGGAAAGTCTGTGAGACTAATTAATTACCAGAAAACTGGAAGTAGCACTGTGGCTCAAAGTGGTAGCGTGTTTGACAAAGCTCAGGGACAGCACCCGGCCCTGAGTTCAACCTCTTTGATGAGGGGTTTTCTTTCACTGCAGTTGTTTCGAGGGCTGCGTCTCACAAGCTCTAATGCACACACAGCACCTTTATCTTCATTTAACATGACCGATCATCTCTGCTGTGCTCTTACCTCTAAGCCAGGGGATATAAAAATGAACTTTATTTTTACTTCTGATTTAACTGTTTATTGCTCAAAATAAAAACAATTTAAAAGGTAAACACTGGAAAAATTCAATCCCATGTATATCTCCCCAACTATCCATCCTACTATGCTAAAAATAACTACTATAATTAGGCTCACCAGTTTCCTTTATGTATGTAAGTGTGTATATAGGCTCATATTTTCACATAAGTAGAATGTGATGCACAGCAACCAATGACGCACTTACAACCAATCTGTGGCTCATCTTAGAGCAGAAAAAGCTTCGCTTTGGTGGACTTAACCTAGTCAACCAGTCTGCTAGTGACTCACATTTGAGTTTTCTTTGGTCTTTTTCTATTATAACACTACTGTGGAACAACTTGGTACATGTCATTTTTACAATGCAAGGAAAATACAAAAAAAAAAATCAGGTTTTTAAAAAAGATGCATTTTATATAGCAATACAGGGCAAACACCCTACACAGCAGTGGGATCCAAGCCCACTCCTTCCACAAGCTACAGTGAAAAATAGTGGAGGAGCAAATGAGAACAGAGATGTAAAGAAAGGATAAGGAAGAGACCTAAGATGTGAAATTTTAAAAAAAACTGTATATATAAAAATAATTTTTAAAAAGTTTTAAATACTGGGTTGGGAAGTTGGCTCAGTGGTAGAGCGCTTGCCTTGCATGCCTGAGGCCCTGGGTTTGATTCCTCAGCACCACATAAGCAGAAAAAGCTGAAAGTGGCGCTGTGGCTCAAGTGGTAGAGCGCTGACCTTGAGCTGAAGAGCTGAGGGACAGCGCCCAGGCCGGAGTTCAGGTCCCACGACCGACCAAAAAAAAGAAAAAAAAAAGAATCTCTGCAGTGAACTTGGGTGTGGGGGTCCTGTACTGTGTCAGGAAGCAGTGGACTCCCCCTTGCCGGGCCCCCCCCCCCAACCAGGGTAGATCCTGAGATCTCGATTTCACTACCTGTCCAGTTGCTTTTTTTTTTTGGTTGGTTGTGGTGGGCTTGAACTCTGGGCCTGGGCGCTGTCCCTCAGCTCTTCAGCTCAAGGCCAGCACTCTACCGCTTGAGCCACAGCGCCACTTCCAGTTTTCTAGTGGTTTATTGGAGGTAAGAGTCTCACGGACTTCATGATCCTCAGATCTCAGCCTCCTGAGTAGCTAGGATTACAGGCGTGAGCCACTGGCACCCAGCTGCTTGTCTGTTTTCCTGTGAGTTTTAGAGAGTTTTGATCGTGTAATTCCAAGGTGCCAGGCCGGCTGGGCTGCACTGTGTATGGAAGGCGGGGCTTGTCTCTGTTCCCTACTGAGGGGCTTGCCTCCCCCTGGGTGGGACTTTTTTTTTTTCCACCTGAGGAGGGAATGCAAGGATATCAGATTCCTTTGCCTTCTTCAAAAATGGTGCCGCTTCTCTGGCAAGTGTCTCTGGCCAGGTACTATGACAGGCTCTATGTCACCTTCAAAAATGGCGTTCTTCTCAGGGAGGGGGAGGGTTTCTTTTCAGATGCCTGGATGGGAGAACGTCTTTGGTGTAGGGTACTCACACTTAGTGACCATCCGCCTGTGGCCGGTTGGGCTGTGGATTCCTATTCTCGGTCTTTAAACTCGTGCTGAAGGTGAGTGGACAGCCTGTGGGCCACCTCCATTCCGGCCCCCCAGGCCGCTGCTGCTGCCCCCAGCAGACATTTAATTCTGTACTATTATGCAGGTAGCTTATAATTTTCTTCTTTGGTATAAATCTCTGTATAATTATGGCTTACTTGGTGTGACTCTCTAGACATGGATATCTTGATGGGACCCTAAAACTCTGCTTCTTTGGAGAGAGCTTTGTGGTTGGTTCCCTGTTGTCTATGTGCCATATTTTTTGACTCCCTTGTGACACTTTTAGTTTTAGGCTTTCATTGGCTTTACTCTGATGAACCTTGATATGACTTTTTTCACTCTCATCTCCCTGGTATTACTAAACATCTCAAACACACACGTTTATATCTCTCATTTAATCTGCAAAATTTGGGGCCATTACTTCTTTAGTTACTGGCCCAGTCTCCCTTCCTTCTGGATCTCAAAAAATATGTGCACAAAACCTGAGTTCCCTAACAGATCCCTGAAGTGCTATCATTTTAGTCTTCTTCCAATTTCACCTTCAATAATTCTGATGTAATTAGATCCAACTGTTTACTGTTATCTCGACTAAGCTGTTAAATTCTTCTAGAGAAAATTTTGTTTTCAGAAAATGTGTATTTAATTTCTAGCATTAAGAATTTTCTTTTCCAGTGCTGGGGGTCAAGCACAGGCCATGTGCATGGTAGGCAAACCAACTGTCAATGAGCTACATCTCTAGCCCTTCCTTTGTTTTAATTTCTTTCTTTCTTTTTTTTTTTTTGCTGAGATGTCAATCTTTTCATTAATTGTGTGATCTTTAACTTCATCAAGTTATTTCAATTATTATCTAAATACCTTTCACATCCATCTCTATGCCTGTGCCATTTGGGGATATTATTTTCTCTTGAATAGTTGTACTTCCTACTTCTTCATACTTAGGCAGATTTTGAATTGAACCCTGAAAATAATGGCTATGAAATTGTCTTCTTTCATGTCCTTTAGCGTGTGCTTGTTTTGTTTCTGCCTTAACATCTGCTAATCACACAAGTTTCTGGAGCCCATCTCACAGCCTCAGGTGCTCTCTTTTGTTAGCTAAGCAGCCTTCAATCTGTCAGCACACAGACTTTTGGTTCATTCTCTAGCAAACATATTTTCCTGAGACTCAAGTTTCTGAATGCTCAGGTTATGAAGACTATAGCTTTTAGACCTGTGCCTAGGCCAAACTGCTTACTATGCTGGCCTTCACCAAATCCTAGGCTGAAAGCTGTAAAAATGCAGCCTCACATCATAAACCTTCCTTTCTCTGAGCATGTGTTCCTATTAGGCTCCACCACCTGCTCATTCTCAGTGCCTTAGGGTGCTTTGTGTTTCATCCCGACTTTAGTTGTCTTTTGTTTCATAGTACATTGGATATTTGAACCATCATTAATCATTACTCCATTTTTAATGAAGGCACATTACAGCTTGAACATGAAATGCTCCCCCCAAGATCACATAATGCATGCGTAAGAACCCACCAGTAGCACTGTTTAGGGAGGTTCTGGACGCTGTAGGCAGTGGGGCCTAGCTGGAAGAAGGTTGCCAAGTGTGTGCCTCTGAAGGCTGTACTGGGTCCCCATCTCCTCCTCATCGTCATGCTCTGTCTACCATGACATGAGAAACCTTTCCCACCATGATCCTGCCATGGTGATATTCTGCCCAAGGACATGGGCCAACCAACCCTCTAGTCCATC